GTAGCATCTTTGGGACATGGTCACAAACGGCTCCCAAAGTGAAGTGGCTCCTTATACGGACGGGGAGGGCCAGGGCCAGCGAGGCTGGAAGGAGAAGGCTGCCGAGCCCTGAGGTAGACACAGGCTGCATGTGCACAGGGCCCGGAGGTGACGTCCTCATGCGCCACACGGCAAGCATAATCCTGGGAGGGTGGCTTACCCTGCCTACCTCTCAGTTTCCTTAGCTGCTGAAGGAGGCCATAACAGAACCTCCTGTGGACCACTATAGAGCCAACATCGACAAAGCTGTTCAGAAAAGTGGCAAGGCCGGGGAGATGGCTCAGTAGAATAAGTGCTTCCCTGGCAAGCACAAGGGCCTGAGTTCAATCCCCGATTCTGCCAAAAAGAAAAAAAAAAAAAAAAAGAAGAAGAAGAAGCTCACAGAAAAGCAGCAAGCATGTGCTACAGATTCGAAACCAACACGGTAAAACAGAACAAAACAAATTAATGACAACAGCAGGACCCTGTTGTTACCAGAATACAATTTCAAGGGTCCTTCATTTGAATTCTATGCTGCCACACATCTGAGGCAGTTTCCCATATTTCCTAATGTCACCAGCATATATGGAGTCTGCAAAAAAAATGCATACAACTTCAGAAACAGAAAAATAGTAAATTTTGATAACATGAACAACTAATTGAACACAACACTATGCAATACAACAAGTACCATGAAATTCATATAATTTTGTTCAGCAAAATTTTGTACCATTTGTAATTTTTCTGTTTTTAAGAGAGTATTTTGTACGCTCTTTAGAAAAAAAAATTTCAAAAAGAAAAAAAGGATATTTTTTTCATCAGATGGTGTTACCTTCATTGGGGGACCCTAGAGGATGCCATATATCACACTGCTGACCCCTAGAGAAGAAACTGAAAATGCACTTGTAGCAACTGCGAAGACCAGGGTTACCCAAGCAGCTGGCCATGCTAATAATGCCAGGAAGCTGAGGGCCTCCACTTTGAGAACCTCTTTAATTGTGGAGGCCAAAAATAACTTGTGTTAATCTCATGATGTTGCAGTACATTTAGCATTGAAATATTTATACAAGTTTTTTTTTTCCAGAATTGCTCACAGTTTTTGGTGGATGCTGTACATTTTCCCACATATCCCTTTAAAGGTACAGCCAATGGTACCTCTGACTTAATTCTTTCCATGATTCTTGTTGGAAACTAAGAACCAGATCAAATTCAATAGTTAGGTTCAATGCTGACCGATGGGCAAACATGATTCAGTTCTGGACCAGTCAAGTTTGTGACCAGAATTGTGGAGAGAATTGGGTTCCTGAACCAAGGTGCCACCAATTCTTTCAAACTCACAACACAGTCATAGCATATATCTGTACCATACATCCATGGGCTCCTTCACATGTCCAGTTCTTGATCACGAAATATAAACCCAATTCTCTGCTGTTCTCTCTTATGAGGAGCTTGTTGTAAAAAGTAATAATCATAGAGAATGACCAAACATCTGTCTAGCTCGAATATTCTCCTTCTAATCTTAAATTATAGCTTTTCATGGAATCAAATCATCCAAAGGCCATATACCTAAAATCTCAGCTTTTGTTTTATATCCAGTTGTTTCAATATATTTGTTCCAAGGGTTTGCCTTTGACCTTTCCACTCTGTTCTATAATTTTCAGTGTCCACATCTTGCACCTCTCTTTTGAATTTATTTCTATTTCATTTTTAGGATGTTGTACTTTGAACTTTTAAAAAGTGTAATTTCCAGATAATTCATTGGTGGAATAAAGAGCTTTAACTGATTTTTGTGTATATTGATCTTGTAGTCAGCCAATGGCTTTTTAATTGATGGATGATATAAATAACATTCATTCATTCAAGAAACATATTATGGACACCTATGCATTAGGCACTGTGCTACACTCTGGCATACAGTGAACAGTAACAGATAGGTTTGCTGCCTGCCCCCTCAAGGAACCCAGGTCTGAGCAGGAGAGCGGGGCCAGGCCAGGTGCAAGGCCCACTGCTGAGAAGACCCTGGTGGCTGCCCGCCCTATCACGCAGGGCCCTGGCGAGGGGTCCTGGGCAGAGGCCTTTCACTAGTACATGAGCTAGGGACTGCTGCGAATCCCCTAGCAGCTACTCCAATTCCAGCTCATGCCCACTAGCCGACAAAGCTGCGCAAGTTTGCTTTGCTTTGGTTGTAGGCAGCCTGAGGCTGTGTTGTGGCCAAACTCTTGTAAATGGCATCAAAGCGAAAATTCATTTTTAAAGTCTACCATAGCTATCTCATCTTTGCGCTGATGTTTTCATCTTACGACTCTACCTTGTTTGGGGCAGATCTTTTAAAGCTGCCTCAGCTTTTTCTTAACGGACAGAGAATTTCAGTTACTTGTTCATGCTCCTTGGAATGCAAGCTTCTACACCCTGTGTCTGAGTTTCCACGAAGATGTGATTATACTACCTGAGCGAATACTTAGGGCATCTGGAACAAGAACTCTTTCGTACTTATAAGGCTCTTTAATCTACTTTTGGCAGGTCTAAATTAAACAGAGTCCATTAGCTTTGTTCGCACACTGCGAGTGCTTTCCTGGCGTTGCTTCCATACAATGTCCTTTCCTTACCAGAAGTAAAGGATCCTGGCTCAGCAGGCAAGGTGGAAAGGGATGCTTCCCCCTAGAGGCAGCTCCACAGGCAAGACGCTGAGCCCCTCTGGGTCTGAATTCAACTTCTGGTATGTGCCTACTAGATGTGTGATTCTGGGCAGGTTACATAACCACGGCAAGTTTAGGCATCTCAGCTATGGAGCTGAGATAATCTCGACACTGCTGGTTATCAGTGTAAGCAAATGAAATGCGACGAGCTTTGTGGCTGAGAACACACCTACATAACGGTAGCACTGGAGGTACTAGGCAATGCAATAAGACAAGAAGAATAAGCAAGTGGTTAACGACAGAGCGAAGGATGAACAACGCCCAACTCGTGCGGTGACTCCACTAAAATAAATTACAGTTCTATCTAATTACAAAAGCAAACTCCAAGTGAATGAAAGATTAAAACATGAAAAACAAAACATTTTGAGGCAAATAAGGTATGGCAGAATTTCTTCACCAACATATAAAAAGCAGAATTCATAAATTAACATGTAAAATAATTACATCAGATGAAAACAATTTTTATTTAACAGATGAAAAGAAAAACAAAGTTTAAAAAGAAGTTATGGTCCAGTTGGCCAAATAGCTCTGCAGATTAAAGTGCCTGCAAGCAGGCGCAGGGGCTGGGGCTTCAAGCCCCAGGCCTGCCATGCCGGCCCAGCCCCTCCTGCACACCGAGACAGCGATTGTGACTGGGCGTGCTGGTG